GGGAAAAGAGGAGAAGAAGTGCAAAGGGATTAAAAAGGCTGTAATAAACAAGAGTATCAAGAGTATAATTCACGACGACTATAGGGAGTGTTCACTCAGCGGAAACATGCAAAGGAGGAAAATGAATGTGATCAGGTCGCATAAGCATGAGGTCTTCACTGAGTCAATCAACAAGACAGCTTTGAGTGCTAATGATGATAAGAAAGTAATAAGAGAAGATAAGACACCAACTTTTTCTCGTGGTCACAATCAATTAGATCAATAAAAAAAATGAATCCTGATCACATTTCATTTAATGCATTAATGTTCGGACCTAGAAATTCAGAAAAGACAAGATTCCTAGTCGATCTCTTGAGCACCACCTTCCGACGAAAGTTTTATTACATCGTTCTCCTCTGTAAAACATTCACTCACAACATTACATATGACTGTTTCGGAGAAAATGATAAGGACTTACCTTTCTTAACTCCACTCCAAGACCAGATTGATAATTGGCTCAAGATTAATAGTTATTTGTATGAGGGAACAAATACACTGATCATTCTCACTGATTGCACTGCTTCGAGAGATATGAAGCAAAGGATGGATGAACTCGTGAGTTTAGCGTTCAGTGCAAGGCACAGGAGAATTTGGTCATCGGTCTATGATAAAGAAATAGACAGTACTTGTGAAGAAACTGATTCACGTCTTATCAAACGCTTGAATAAGAACTTGTGTAAGTACTTGATAATAACTTGTGTTAGAAATTATGTAAGAACTTGCGCAAGAACTTAAAATTATGTATCAACAAATAAACCGGATGGTAAAGAACCTTAAGAAGCGCCGGCTCAACAGGTGACTTCAACTGAAAAAATAAGACAAAGCTAAATAAAGACCCAGGGCGTGTCGCAGCTAGCAAAAAACTTGCTGAAAACAATAGCAGAGTGAGAAAAGAAAAGAAGACGAAAGGAGGTTTAAAGCAACCCGATGGATTACAACCAGAGCCGGTACTAAAACCATCAGCATCATTCTCACTCACAGAAATTCTTTCAGTAGCAAATGTTGTTATTTCACTGGTTGGACTGTACTATAAAAGAAAAGAGTAGATGGCTCTCGTTAATAAACCAAAACTAGCACAGCTAAGGGAAATGCAGCAAAACACACAACCACAGATTCCTGTAAGATTAAAGTCAACGGATTGTTTTTTTTTTCTTTTCTGTTTACCAAATAAAATACCTGATAATAGGCCTGTGAAAACATTGAGTGATTCAGTTACCTTGACTTGATTGGCTTCTGGAGTCGAATGGATTGCGAAGAAAGTTATCAAGGGACCGATGACCTCTGATCCGAGTTCAAGTTTCATGAACTATGTTAAGTTCACTGTCGTTATCGCTGCATCAATTGCGGCAAAATGGTGCTTTGAATAACAAAAGATTTTACCATCTTAAAAATTTGTCACTGCTTCCGGTCAATCAGGATTGAACAACCACGCAACGCAAAACAGAAAAATTTTACTACAAAGACCGAGAATATCTACTCTAAAAAGCAATGGAGGACACTTTTTCTCTTTCACTGAAGACAAAATATTCGATGTCCCTTTCAAATGTTTTCTCTTCTCTTTCACATCGTCTCTCTATTTTTGCTGTCCTAAATCAAACAGAGAAGAGTTTTGGTTATTTCACCATTATGTTAAAGGGTGAGGGTCTGTTTTAAAAACAATAGAAATGTTAAAGGGTGAGGTTCTGATTTAAAAGCAATAGATATTGATCCAAAAACAAACCCAACAGCTTCTGGGATATGGAAAATTATCAGCTGTCCTTGGGTGAAAGAAACTGACAACGATTCAAATTTCAATACTTCTTCGTGGTGTAATGGTGTGAAGCTTCACAGTTTTTCTGCAATTCCAGCAACAGAGGCAGTATTCGTGTTGGGGAATTACACAAAAATAGTTGGACATCGTTTTCATGAAGGACTGAACTCAGACTGTCAGACTCTTCTCATTAACAAAGATACTCTTTTGATAGAAGAACAAAGCAAGGCACACCACAACTTCTTTGCGAGAAGACACAACATTGATATTTGAGAATCAACAAGATTGCTCTTTCAGCGACGCCGATGGCGCGACAAGAGGATCGTTTAAGATGACAATATTCACACCCTCTTCAGAACTCACGAGTGAGACATTGTCAAACTTCTGAAATTTTTTTTACTTGTGAATAATTTAGGTTGCCTTTAAAATCAAGGTTGACTTCAAAATGCGCAAAAGCTGTTTTTTTTTAAATCAAAGTTGATTTCAAGTCAACCTTGATTTCACGATTAGCTTCATGATTTGTCTTTAAAATCAAGGTTGATTTCAAAATGCGCCAGAACCCGCTTTTTCTGTCTACCATATTTATGAAGTCTATAAACTGACCAGCTTCTGTTGCAAGCTTTTAACTACCCAAAAGTTTTCTTAAAACTTGAGTAGGCGAAGGTTTAGTGGAAGGTAAAAAAAAAAGCAGTAAAAATAGAGTGGGAGACGCTGTGCCTAAACTGTTGACGTGCTGGACTCTGGGTTGGGAGGTATGGGTTTGAGACCTTGCTAGGTCATTTTGTTATGTTATTGTGGGAGTTACTTAGCTCTCACAGTGCATATCATCATCCATTTAAAGGTACCAGCGAAATGTTAGAGAAATCTGACATAAGTTAGAGGGAGGGAGGGAGGGGGTAGCCTGCGTTATAATCCATCAAATACTTGTGCACAAGCGCGATTGGCCTAAATGCATCATATAGCTGAATATGCCCGGCTAAAAAGGAGACCATAATGATTCGATTTCGCGCCCTCCTTCCAATAAGGGCCCTCTTTGTAATAAGCGCCATCCATCGAAATTCTTTTTTGCTAATAATTACCCCTATTCTAATAAACGCTCCTAATCAATAAGCACCCTCATTCCGATAAGCGCCCCTAATTCTCTTCTGTTTCGGTAATAGCACTTTTAGAGTACATATATATATTGAGATCAACCACGGTCCATCTTCCTTTAATTTCTTACTAAAAGCCTCACGACAAGAAGTGGTCTTCGTCTCAGTTTCTCAGCTATCATGTCGCCGTGAGTGCACCGTTCCTTAACACAAAAGATCCCGTCCTAAAAATTTTGAAAACGATTGCTTGGCTAATCGTTCTAGCAAGAAAGGATCCAAGGAAAACAAGGCTGTTTTCCAGTCTCTTTTATCCCAGTCAAATAAACATCAAAGTTTTGTTTCACATTCTGTTGTGTCCCGAAGAGAAATAAGCACCCTGTTCCTAATTAGCGCCCTCCCTTGAGATGTCAAAGGGAAATAAGCGCCCCGGGTGCTAAATCGAATTATAACGGTATGCCCCAAGTGATATTTCCCAATTTTCAAACCCTACGTCCATGACAATAAAAGTCTTTGCTTAAAATTTGATTAAAGATGAGAGAGAGAGCGTTTAACTTCTGTTACGGAAGAAGGGACTTGTTTCTTTGTTCATAAAGTCGAATCAGAGAACACTGAGAAAGTAAACATTCCACACAACAAACGGTAGGCTGTTTGTTAATATTTTCCCTCACGTTGTAAAATTATTCGAAGGATAATAAACACAACAGCCTTAATTTGGCGCGAAAATATGCACGGATATTTGCCTACAGTCATGATCCATTCCGAGATAAGCACAGTTTTCGAGAGCAAGGAACAGACAATGTCGATCCCCGAGTTTTGGGTATCCCCAAAACACTAGTGTTTTTAGTATCCCCTCCGACAATACCCAGAACACTAAAAGAGAATTAAACAAGAGACTGGGGCACGTAACGTGGCATCCTCTTTTGACTTGTCGTGGACATAAAAATAATCGCTTGTAGACGTCAGAAATTGTCATCCAAAGTTAATTCTCACACTTAAGTATGTGATTTGTGAAGAATGTTCATTTGTTGTGACACGTCTTGGAAAGCGTGATCAGTCAGCAGTTTCAAGTGGGTTGCTTCGCATGTTAACAGTGCAGCTGCAGCCGATCGATTTGAGACACGCACGGAAGGAGGGTTTTTTCAGTTGTTGGGGTTTTGCGTTTAAGAAAATGATAAACCCTTGTGCTTTCGATTAGCTCTGAGTCTGTGAAAAATCATAACTGTGTGACTTGCTTACCATGAGTGCGTGCATGCGTGTGTGTGTGTGTGTGTGTGTGTGTGTGTGTGTGTGTGTAGAAAGTTTTGCTCTTGCTTCACTAACCTTAGTAATGTTAACAGATATTTATTACGAATTAGGACAAGTATCTTAGCAGCAGTGAATCTCTGGGATATAAAAAAAACTCTTTGAGTAAATAACCGACTTAATTTTGTAACTTTGATTATTAAAAATATCTTGATTCCTTGAAACAAGGTAAGTTCTATCATTCTAGACACCCATAATGGATTAGGCTCAACCTACACGAAATCCCAAACTTTGTCTTCTCCTTCCTTTTCCAAATATAAACATGTATACAGGGGACACTTCAATAAGGTGGGTACAGAGACACCAGACCAAGTTTTATCCTGACGCAGAGTGCACAAAAACTTCCCTCCACCTCTTAGCCCAATTAAAAGAGCAAAACCACCTTGTTAAAAGTGAAAAGTAGAAGTACTTAAAAACACATACACATACAAAAGAAAAATAGTAACAGCACAAAAATACAAGGAGACATCGAAATAGCTGACCTTGAGGAATACTAAGAACTCAACAGCCCTGTTAGATGGGATCCTTTGATCACTAGGGATTGAGTGACAGCGCTAAATGGAGAGCTAAGGGCTATCGCGTTCATTACCCTTCAAATATTTTTTTTCGAAAAAAATGTATTACAAATTGAAGGATAATGCCCTTGGTTGAAAACTTGTTCTCAAGATATTATTCTTGAGGTACATATTCAACTGTAAGGGTTTCGCCGGGTACGGGTACGTACGTTTTTCGCCGTCCTGAGTCCTCAAGCAGAGAGGAGAAAAGACCTGGGAACGAGGTTTTTACAATGAGTAGCCCTGAGAACGAGAGTAGTCGCATCGACCGCCATTTTCAATAGGTCGTAAGGGAGAACGTAGAAAAACGTGAACAATTACGATTCTCAGAGAGAGTAGAAACAGCTGTCTGTACCAATGAAGCGTGCGTGCTCTCCAAACTCGATAACGCCGCTAGATTACTCCATCGTGACCACAGAAGGTTTGGAAAGACCCGATGTCGTCAATGATGCACAAAGTTACATCTTGGGAGGCGTTCTGGGAGCTGGAAAGTTTGCGTGGCTCGCTCGTGGTGCTACTTTGGAAGTCATAAATACCATAAATGGTGAGAGACAAGCGTGCTGTCGGTTTGGTTGGAGCCCACAACGGCAGCGCTTTCTGTCCATTTCTTCAGTCAACGAACTTCATATCGAAGACGGTACAAAGCTTTTGGTAGGGCTAAAGGACTTATCAAGTGGCGGTGCGGGAGTTTTGGTCATTTTTGATCCTTTGCTGTCGCGGGTGATCAAAGCTATTGAGGTTCCGTACCCTGTCACCGTAGTTGAAAGCGTTACCAGCTCTGGGGGAGCTCAAGCAGCTCCACATGCTCTCAGGTTAGTTTACAGTGTACAAATTATGCTTCACTCTGACCTAGGGCTAACGCTCGAAACGTCAGCTTTAAACCTTTTTACGGTGGCCAATTTACCTTATCAACTTAGTTGATAAAACAAAATATCTTGTTACACTCCCCAACCGACGCAGCACCGCGGTTTCTTTAGAATCGTACCCCCTTTATTAGTTTACAGCAGGACGTAACATGTCGATCATTTCAAAAGTCGATCAATGTCGATTGAAATCGAGTTTAATCAATCGACAAATAAAATGATAGAAATCGATCGCAAGGTTTCTTTTTATTATCGATTATTAACTCTAATGTTTTTCCTGTCTGGATGTTAACTGTCTAAGGATTGGGAGAATTCTGCAGGGTATTCTGCCGGTTAGCCAAGGATTGTTCCTGTTACAGTCAAACCTTGATTATCCGGACCGGTGGTGACTGAGCAGAATTGTCTGAATGATCAAAAGTCCAAATACCGTATTCGCATGTGTATAGGCCACACTCATGTATAAACTGCAGCCCAACTTTTGACCATGTTTTCTTGAAAAAAAAATAATTTCATGTTTTCTTGAAAGGACAAAAGACCTGGCAAGTGCTACATACCACCAAGATATATTTGTTTATATCACAAACTTCATCATAATGAATAATCTAACATAGCATGCCATCGATGGAACAAAAATTACAAATGCAAACAACAATGGCTATTCATATCTTTAAAATGGTCTTAAAGTTAGAAAAAGGTAAAGTTCAGTTCAATGTTCACCAGCTTTAAAATCCTTCAAAAGTCATTTTCATCGTCACTCTTGCCAAACAATGCCAGATAGGAAGCTTCATCAATCTCCGCTTCAGCCACTTCATTTTTGTCAGCATAGTAAAGTTTGCTGTCATCCTCAGGTAGTAGTTCACTGTCCACAGCATCCTCCTCTTCATCTTGTCACAAGAAATCTTCCTCGCTGCCATCCAGGGCATTCGTGATGCTGCATTTTAGGAAGGACTTCCTAATCAGTTGCTAAGGTATCTCATCCCAAGCTTCTTTGATCCATGTGCAGATCACATCCAGCTCAACCTTCTACTTTCTGCTACTGGCTGTCAATGTGTGCTCCTCAGACAATATCCATTCCCACCACTTTGGTCATAATTAGCGCCCTCCCACAAGGAGGGACCTATGCTTTGAGAGACCTCCAACTTTAGCCCAAATAGAGGTCAACCAGTCTTTGGCCTTGTCCATCCAACCCTTTTTGTGGTATCTTACAAGCATACCATCAGGGAACTTGACTTTCTTTGGCAGGGTCTTCCTCTTACAAGCACACCATCAGGGAACTTGAGTTTCTTTGGCAGGGTCTTCCTCTTGAAAACAACATAAGGGGGAGTTTAGAGCCATCTCCTCTACAAGCTAACATCATGGTGAAAGGGTCCTTCTTGTGTCCCGTGCTGATAATCGGCATGGACTTGATTCCACTGGAAGAAACTGGCATGTTTGATGCAATGTCAAATGTTAGTGATATTTGATCTGCATTTCCAGTCATGCTTAGATCATAGTCATAGCATTGCCGCATTCATAAAATGAACTGTTGGAAGTTGATGAGCTTGTCTTCAAAGTTCTCATGAAGTTTCTGGGCCACTGTGGTCCTACGGCGAATAGAGAAGCTGTTGCGGGCAAGAAACTTGTAACACCAGCTTTGTGATGTCTTGAACGTGTCAGCTGCAATATCTTTTTCACAGGCAAGGGCCTTGGCTTTTAAGCAGATTACAGTTGTAGATACTGCAACTCCTTCTTGTCTCTTTGAAGTAATCCATGCAGCAAGGTCTTCTTCAAGTTCAGGAAATTGGGCACTTTTCCCCACCTGGCTCGTTTACTGCAAGGCATTTTCTTGAGGTTCTCCTTCTGTGACCTCCATCTCCACACACACTTTTCATTGACTGAAAAACTCCTTCCAGCAGTACTATTCCCATTTTGTTTTGTAAACAACACAACCTTCAACTTAAAGCCAGCAGTGTAGGAAACATGAGGTGATCCTTTTTCAGACATTTTCTAATGTGATCAATGATCAGAGTAAAAAACCTTGTTAACAAGGTGTCTTTGATGCACAGACTAGGATCAAGATTACCATTTAGAACAAAGATAATTGTTTTAATTGGTTGTTTATTTCTATTATCACTCCATTTATATATTAGCATTAAGTGGGACCTCTCAGGAAACATAAAATGAACACGACTTGCACACGCAGAGAAATAAATGGTGGCATGTGGCCTCTTACATGTGGATTGTTATAGGTTGCTAAGATTACTGAATGAATCAAAGATAGTGGCAGACTCAACTTTATCACATATGAAAGTTTATGTTGCGTTTTCTATGCAGTGTTTGATGTCCTTAGATTCTGCTTTCATTGTGAATCTCAAATCGAATTCAAACAATTAGCACATGGGACATGCAATTGCTACCTCAGTGTACTTCTTTGCTTGCAAACGTGTTCTGGCTATACATGAAAAATTACGTGAAAACTTTAAAAGGGGTTTCCATTTAAACATAAAGATTTAAGTTATACCGTGTATAAGCCACACCCCCATTTTGCGCAAAATTTATATGAGAAAAAAGGGCAGCCTATACACATGCGAAAATGGCAGTCGAAATTGGTCTATACTTAAACAATGGATGGCATCAAGGGCACTCTGATTGGCTATTTGAAAGCTGATTTGCGCAGGATTTGCACCCCAAAATTTGTATTCATTGCAGGAATGAATTATTTAAAATCATCTTTTTCTGCCATATTTTCTCACTGTCTAGTATAAACTAAAACAACTATTCACATGAGTGAAGGCAGTCAGCAATGGATATTTATGCTTTGCTTCTTTGTAAATATCTATCACAAGCCACCTCCACTTTGGTGAATAGTTCTAAATATGAATATTAATGTGCCAAAAATAACACTAGGTATCATTTAATGAATATTACGCTTGAATTAAAGTATATTCTAAATCATTTAAAATCATTGCCAAAATTTGTCAAAGTATTTACAAAAATGTTTTATGGCAACAACATATAACTATCTAAAATGCTGACATTAATCAGTTTATTTGAAGCTGCATCAACGTGTTCACAATGATAGTTCTATTATTCTTGGAAGCTGCATTAATGAATGGCATCAACATTGTTTCAGTTCATGTGCTTTGTTTGATGGGAAAAGTTGGGTACAGATCTCAAATGAGACTAACAAATGTTCATGAAAAAATGGAACCAGAGAAGTGAGTCCAGATAACAGAAAAAAAAATTAATAGAGGTTTGGATAATTGAGGTTCAACTGTTTTAGGGACCTTATTATGCTTTGTCATTAAGGTGGCTCCATAGGGTTTTTGCTTAATGTTGGCATGCCCACCAGCATTATGTTTGTCTAGAAAATTTTTATGTTTTGCTTTTCTTGGTCACTAAAAGCCATTAAGAGGGTAATGAGCAAGGTTCAGGCTATTGTTTGCGGTAGTAAATATTATCAAAATGATTTTTGTTATTAAGCTAAGACTCCACTAGGGGAGGCACTTGCCAGTGGTAATTTGGCTCAGCTTTGATTTTCTTCAATTTTCTTCAGTGAAATCTTGTCCTGCCAATCATTTAAGACCTGAAAAAATTGGGGTTATAAAGGCAGTTTCCTCGCTATTTGCAATTTTGTATTTTCTTCCACCTCAAATTTGGCCTGATGAATTTGTTTGTCAATGGGCACCTGCAAGGGCACAAATATGTTTAATGGTCTAGCAAATCTTGGGACTTTCCACTGAAGGGAAACACAATGAATCTTGCTTGAAAGATCCCTATTTTCTTTGTCTCAAAATATTATGTTATGGATAGAACTTCGCCAAGATGTATATCTGAGTGTGTGTAAACTTTACAATTTGTCACAATCTGTCACCTTTTGGCAATTTTTCCCATGGTGTTTCTTCTTGTTCGACCTCTCTTTCAGGCATAGAAGGCCTATGAATATTACAGGTGTAGTTGCTGGAAACCCTAGATTCCATCACACAAAAAGTGTATTGTGTTAAACTGTTTTTAAGACATCTTTTCAGATAACAATAGTACAATTGTATCGAGCTGCCATGTTTTTTTGCATGTTAACACTCTTAAAACTCATGCTATGTTTGCACCCAGATCCCGAGCAGTCAAAAAACCATATGGAACCTCCTTAAGGTGATTCCCAAGAAAGAATAGTTGTCAGTAAACCTGAAAAATACATGTAGCTTGCATTATTTTCATCTTACCCTGTAAATACACCAAGATTATCCTAAATCATCCACTTAAGTAAGAAGATGCAAGAATAATTGTGTCAGTATTATATGCCAGTCAGCCTTGTGGCCAATATAATGAGTTCTTTAGGTGCAAGATCATAGCAGAACATTATGCAGCTGTAATCCCTATGGAATAATTACAGATTATGCAAATTATGAAGAGCACAAAACTGTTACTTAATAAGTACCATGGTGTGTCTCTTCTTTTTTCTAAAATCTAAGTGCTTGAAAATGATGAGGGCAAATTAACATGTGGCCAACATGCCAACAAGAAGTCAATGTTTCTGCATTTGGCAGGGCTCTTTTTGGTAATGTATAGATTTGGGATTCATCATTTAAACTTCTTGCTATAATTTCAGTCCCCAGTTGAGGCTGCTGTTTGGTATTGCAGCTGTTGGTACTGAACAAGGGCACTGTTATTTAGTGGATCTTCGCCTTGATGACGAAGATGAACAGTTTGATGAGTGGCGCACAAGCCCTATTGAAGTAGTTGATCCTTTAGCATGTGACTTGGCTCAACTCAGAAATACTGCCAGGACCAATGAAAGCCATTTAGGAATTGAAGTGGGAGGTATGTCAAACTATTGGACAAGTTGTTGTACATTTTGAAACCAAATGCATATGCATTGTAGCCTTGAAACATGTATAGGTATGTCGTAAAGCTAGAGTTCATTAGAATGTAAAAATAGCTAATCAGTATTTTTCCCCCAGTAATAAATAAGTAAATAACCTTAACTGCCTCTTGTATGTGAGACAAGTGAAATTTTTGTTAAGTTACTGTGCTCAGTGGGCTGTACCATTATTTGGGCTTACTGTTCAAAAGCCTCAGTTTAAAATTCAGTCATGTTTTGTCGTCTCTCTCACCAGCATTTCTACACAGGCACTGGTTATCTGATTAAAACACTCAGTCAATGATCTTTGACTGCTCCTATGGCTAGCTTTTCACATCAGATCTAGTAAACAATTGAAACAATTCTTAATAGTGTTGGGTTTGTGACTAAAAATTGATTTTTTTTGGACATAGTTTGATGCTACTCTGGTTTAAAGATTTAATGAATGTAACTGAGAAGTTACAATTCATAGACCCAACGTTTTGACACTCCTGTCTAGTGCCTTCATCAGGGGTGATCTAAATGCTGCATCAAGAGGTCCTTTTATACATTCACTAATTAGCTGTCCTTTTTTTTCTGACGAGGCATAAATAGGCATCAGGAAGTACTCTGCCATCATCATGATTTAAAGGAGCATGGGCAGAGTTGATATGCCGTGCTTCCAAACAAAGGGGGTGGTAATAATGTCGATTAGTGGAGATAATTTTAGACTTATCCCACTCAATTGTATGGTTGGTTAGGCATGTGTGCTCCCATAAAGCTGAATTTTCTTTTTTGCAAAAGAAGACTACTTTTTGATGCTCTTTCAAATGTGTATCAAACTGACGTTTGGTCTGTCCAGTATACTCGTTATCACAGTCATTGCAAGGAATAGAATAATTAGCATCAGTTTGTTGGATCCTTAGGTTTGGCAAAAATATGCCTCAAAGTCTGAAAAGGTTTTTGAGCAGCTTTAACATTGTGGCCATTCAAAATTCACCTGATGGGTTCTGTAAAACCCTGAATGTTGGGAATAACAGCAAAACCAGTTGCTGGTTCCCTCTCATCAGGAGTGCTACTAGTTGTAACTGGTTTTCAGCAGTTACAGAGAAAAGTTTTGGTATAGCCATTTGCCTTGAGGACATTAGAAACATATCTCCTCTCCTTAGCCTTAGAATTGAGTGAAGAGCCTTCAGCCCTCTTGACTAAAATTTTGGCTACAGACTTTTTATGGCAAATATGGTGATGAGAATCAACAGCAAGGTATTTTTCAGTGTGGGTAGGTTTATAATAGACATTTGCCTCTAAATTCCCCTGTTCCCCTCTATGCACATTTAAATCTAGAAAGGTCAAATGTCTATCCTTTTCATGCTTGAGGGTGAATTGGATAAATGGCTCTACTGAATTTAAGTGTGATAGGAGGCGTTCCGCAGAAATGACATCATCAACGTATCGTTTCCAGAGAAAGGGTTTAACCGGTGAAGTGGTTAAGGCCCTTTGTTCCACGTCGTCCATTACCATATTGGCAATGACCGCAGAGATGGGCATATTCATAGCTAGACCAAAAACCTTTTGAAAGTAGGTGCGGTTGTATGTAAATTGGGTGGTTTTGAGGCAAAAAGACAGCAGATGAATAATATCCTCCACAGGCAAAGAAGTTCTTTGTCCCAGGGAAGCATCTTCTTTAAGTCTCTCCTTTGCAACCTCAACACCAAGATCAACTGATATTTTAATGAAGAGCAAATCAATGTTGAAAGATACTAATTCTTCACGAGTGTTAAGGGTTTTATCCCTTATGAAATCTGCAAATTCGCAGGAATTTTAGACAGTGTAATCAGTATTCCCAACAACAGACAAAATTTTTCCAAGATAACCAGAAATTGCCATAGTCGGGGAATTAACAAAATTAACAAATGAGACAATAGGTCTCAATGGAATTCCTGGTTTATGGCTTTTAAGTAAGCCATAAAAACATGGACATAAGCCTTCACCACTGTATAACATTTTGTATGTATAGTCACTAACCTTACCAGCTTTTCTCAAATCAAGGAACATTTTGCTTAACTTTCTTTGAGTTTTACTGGTAGGATCAGAGTTTACTTTGTACTTTGTACATGTGTACTTTTGTCATCAAGCAGAGACAAAGCTTTGTCACGATATTGCTGTTTGTCCATAACCATTACACAATTACCCTTGTCAGCAGAAAATACAAGCCTGTCAGGATCCTTTTTAAGAGCTATAAGTGCACTGAAATCATCCTTTTGACTGTTTCTAGGAAGAGATTTAGCATGCCTGAGTATGCTCCTTACTTCTACTCTTACCAGGTGCCTTTCCTCAACAGCAGTGACAATTTCAGCTGACAGTATTTTGCAAGGAGCAATAGCGAACCTTTCTCTAAACCACTCCATTCCAGCAGGGATAACTCCTCAAAGAAGAGGTTCATGACCCATTTGTCTTTCAGAGATGAGCCTGAATTAGCAGGAGACCTCTTAATAAGCAAATGACGCAATTTTCTGTCATGTTTCTCTCTCTGTTTGGTAAATGTCTGTTGTTCTTTGGAATGGCAGAACTCCTTGACCCTGGAGGTTTCAGAATTGTTAATCAAAGCAGAGAGTTCTCTGAGGGAACAAAGGAATAACATACACAACCACAGTATAGAACTGTGACATTCATGTATTCGTAACTTCTGAAAAGAAAAACCAGTATGGACCATGAGCTTGTATCCCTTATCACTCCGCAAAGAAGGCGTCAATTGTAAACTTGATGGAAGCACATAGTTCTCTTTACATCGGAATACTTGGCAATGCAGACTCTTGATGTTTGCAAGCTGGTTGACCCCTGTAACAAAAGTTTGAGCTATTTACACCTCGTCAGAAAAAAAGGGCAGCTAATTAGTGAGCATATAAAAGGACCTCTTGTTGCACCATTTAGATCACCCAAGATTAAGGTACTAGACAGCAGTGTCGAAAAATTTGGGTCTATGAATTGTAACTTCTCAGTTACATTCATAAAATCTCTAAATCAGAGTAGCATCAAACCATGTCTGATTGCCATTTGAACTTTAATATATAAATTTTTTTGTTTAACAATGTTTGGAATAAACTTTGAAAAATTAGTTCTATGATGAAAATTTGTGTGCTAAAGGTGAGGATGGATTCAAAGAACTAATTAGTAAATACCTTTCTTGTTTCAATATGAAGCTCTAAAGTTGCCATTTCTTTTATTAGTATGACTGTTTATATGTTCAATATGTGGTCTTTGTTGATCATAATACTATGCAGGGGACTTCTCAGGTGAAACTTAGTATATGTTCTTACTCTACAACAAGTTCCCTGTACCTGAAGCTTATTGATAGACAATTGAACTGGGAAATCTGAAGGTCTGAGGTTCAAATCCTAGTTTTAGACTCAGATTTTTAATTTGCATTTCATGTTTGTGACATGGGAAAAACATCAATATTCAAGAGTGTTGAAATATTAGAACCTAATCCATGGGTCAAACAGCATGGGTTCAAATCCCTGTTCTTTATTCCATACTGGCAATGAAAAATAACATCTTGTATGAGAACTGTTCTTTAGAGATTGTCATGAGCTCTGAACTGGTAAACTTTAAGGACAAAAGGTCCATTAAGTGTGATGCAGTTCAAGGAAATGCTGTCATACGCAGACCTTTCATTAAGCAGTCATTCAGCATGAAGTAGACACAGGCCCAAGTCTCAAATTTCTTGTCCCCTTTCCACTATCTACTTAAAAATGTTTTTTTAGTCAGCAAGTGCTTCAAGTAAAGCAGAATGATGCATGTAGCTTTCAGGGAGATTACAGAGCAGTTACAGTTACAAATCAAGGCACTGGTGGTAACGCTGATTAACGGTGATAATTTTAGACTTATACCAGCCAATTGTATGGTTAGTCAGACATGTGTGCTCCAATAAAGCTGAATTTTCTTTTTTACAAAAGAAAACCGGTTTTTGATGCTCTTTCAAACGTGTAGCAAATTTACGTTTAGTCTGTCTGATGTATTCGTTGTCACAGTCATTACAAGGAACAGAATAAGTGGGGTTGGTTCGTTGTTCTTTAATGTCAGGATCCTTAGGTTTGGCAAAAATTTGCCCCAAAGTCTGAAAAGGTTTTTGAGCAACTTTAACATTGTGGGTATTCAAAATTCTCTTGATGGGTTCCATAACACCCTGAATGTAGGGAATAACAACACAACCAGTCGCTGGTTCCCTTTTATCAGGAGTGCTACTGGTACAGGAGTGCTTCTAGGTAAACCAGCGACTGGTTGTGTTGTTATTCCCTACATTCAGGGGTAACCAGTCAACTCGCCGACGGACCAACTAGCCGACGCCAACTCGCCGACGTATAAAATCGAGTAGAGACGTCGGCGAGTTGGTCGATACGATACGATATTTAGTAAAAAAAACACTGGTGAACATTGGTGAACATCAAACAGAAGC